GATGTTCCTGAACAGACCAATGACTATGACTGTGGAGTGTTCACTTGCTTGTATGCAAGATGCTTGCAGGGTTTGTTATGGTGAGATAATCAGTGATGCCAGCATCTCAGATTTCAGGAAACTCATGCTGTTGGAATTGCATCATAGAAAGCTACTGTGACCCAATCCCACCAGAAGGCATCCTACCTGAGCAGTATTATGCTGTTGAATATGTGGAAACTTACTACATTGGACATGCGCTCACAGTCAAGCTGATAGCTTTGTAAGATTCAAGTTCCTCCATCGAGTGGGTGCAAAGAGTTTTGACTGGCCCAGGCGGGATGACGTTGATGATGTTCACATCTCTTGTGTGTTTTATGGCCCCGTCACCCTAGACAGTGCTGGCCCATTTGCTGTTCCAAAACAGCAAAACATTGAAAAAAAGGTTTAAAGAAATTAAAAAGCAAAGGAAGTCTCATTAAGATGCTACACGGCTGATCAGTTTTTAGGTGAATAAAACAACTCTGATCTTTTAAGAAGAACACGTTTTCTTACTCAGCACTGTTTGAATTTCTTGTTATGCAAATCTGAAACTTTTGTTTAGCTTTAGCATTATTTCACTTAAATTGTGGATAAATTATAGAGCTCAGTTGGTACCCTAACTGTCACTTGGTTCAATACCTTTGGATATTTGTATAAAGACACTTAAGAATACGTATATTTCATTTTTGCCTTAGAGACTTGTATTGTTATGGACATTACGTTACAGACATTACCTATCTTTGAAATAGTTTCTATGATTAAAACGCCTACTAGAAATAAAAAGCTTATCAGGCAAATGATGTTACTAACAAATCCAAGGAGTAGGAGAAGTTATTTTCAATTGATTAAAGAGTGAAATCCTGTCTGACACAAAGAAAGAAGTGAAATTTTGTTACGGACATTACTCATCTACTTAGATATTTTCTACTAACCAAAAATGGGGAAAAATTGTTGAAAACCATCAAATTTTTTTCTCGTGTGAAAAAAAGGCTTATGCTCTAATTATACCTTAGTTTCAGTGGACTGGATTGATTTTGATATTTTGACAATTATTGTTCCTTAACTTGCACCTGTGGGTCCCATGTTTTCTTTGTTTATATGACCTATTGAGTAGTAGACCCCCTGCGGAGTGCAGAAGGGCGAAAACAGAAATGACATGTATGTTTTTAATACAGTGATGTGTCTTCTCTTTAGTGGCACAGAAATTAATTCCAGTATCCTTCTTTTAAAAATGATTGATTTTTCACCTCTCATGTGGAATTGCCCAAAGTACCATTTGGAAATGAAGTCCTCTTAATGGAAAATATGCATACAGTCTAAGACTATTACAATAATCAATTTAGACAAGAAGGTTAAAATAATACAGCTGTAGTGGATTTTCTTGTAAATCTTTTACCAGAGACTGCGCAACAATTAAAAGCCCTTGCATGACAAGAAATTCAAAAATAATTTCCAGTCACTGTAACTGACATTCAAAAACAAAAAAGAAAGAAAGAAAGAAATGCTTAATGAGTGTCTATCTGACAAAGGTACGGCAAAACTTTACATCCAATTTTTTAGATTAAAAAAAAAACAGATCTAAATATTAGTACAAGATTTATATCAGAGGTTTTGACGCTGTTCAAAAAATTTGCAGTCATGTATAATCTGAACCTGGAAATACACTCAGGCGTGGTCTTTACAACAATATGCAACAAACAATACTTCAAGTTTGATTATAGAATGAGGCACATACATTATTATTTTAAAAGTAAAATCATGTTTATCTCTCCCAAAATGTTTAAGATATTCACAAAGTACAGGTCACATTCCCCAGGTAATAAGTACATGTCACTGCTCCACAGATGAATTGCCAAACCCCACAGATTCCCCTCTATCTAATAGAGCATTTTGTTAAGAGTTTAGGGCTTGCAAACACTTTTAATGCTATTCACTTGTCTGTATCATGGTGAACTGTACTCTGACCTGTGGAAAAGTTACCTGTATTTTAGACCTGCCGTCAGTTCTGCACAGTCTTCAATGTTGATTTTGACAACTGTTTAACACCCATGGAAATATGCCTCTTTTTTTTCTTTTAGTGCAAAGAATGGGGATTCCTTTTAAGGGAAGTGTTTGGCTGTAACCTGGGCACTGGTGATTATGGCCACATCACCATTGAACATACCAGCATGCTGTTTAGAAACGACCTCAGCTTGAGGGAGTATTCAAATCAAGGCTTTGAGGCACTCATTACAGCATCAGTTATATTCAAAGGCTACTTCCCATGACAGGCATGGTCATGCTACATCAAGTTAGTTTTATATTTTCCTTTTTTAGTATTTTATTTTTTTATATTATCATACATCTCAACACTACAGTACTTGAAACTAATATTGTCACCTGTACTTAAATATTGTTAGAACTAAACTAACAACTCTTTTTAAATAGAAAGGGGACGAAGCTGATCATGTCATTTTCACATAATGTTGGTCGGTGTATGACATTAGCAGACTGCAGACCACAGATTGCAGATTGTAAATTAAAAGACACCAAAAATCTTCCTAATAAAGGTGATACCATCAAAAATATAACATCAGTAGTCTTTACATTAGCGTCTAAATAAGCTAGGAAATATTTCAAGATTGCAATAAATTTTAATATTTACTTCAAGTAAAATAAAGCTTCACACACAACCGATTCTTTTTTACTCCAGGTCATTTTCCCACGCAACAAAATTAAGATTGATTGACATGTCTCACCTTTTTCAAAGCTCAAGAAACCGCAAAACCGCAAGTCAGCCAAGTCGGTCATAAGGATGGTTTTCAAGTCGCTTGAAACTTTCTTGAATCGTTTCAACTTTCCGACCTTCATGAGATGCACAGCAAAGTTACTTGAGATTTTACCAAGGCCTTCACGTACAAATTTTTGGTTAAGTAAAACTTAGCAGCTCTTAAGTCTTACTTAACAGCTTAGTGTAAAGACAACCATCGTGTGAAAGTGAGAAAGTAGCCTGGGAACAAGGTTGATATTTTTGCGGAAAGTTACATTAGCCTCATTTCCAAGATGCTGTTGCCTATTCTTCAAAGACACGACTCTTTATTGACTCACCCGGCATATCACTAATTGCGTTATTCTTTATCTTTCTTTAATTATTGTGAATTGATAATGACAAGTAGCAATACCCACTAATGCCTGTCTAAATAGTAGTCTTCGGTAAAAAAAAAAAGTTTTTAGATTGCGAGCACTTTGTGCTCACTACAGTTACGTCGACAAAAACAACTAGGATAGATCATGGACATTTAACACCTTTTAAATGACGTGTTTCATCTTAGCAGTATTTCAGGATATGCCAAATAATCTAAACCGAACAGATCCTACCTGGACTCAACGAATTACCGGAAGTGCATTTTGAATTTCTAAATAGGCAAATTGACAATGGCTTTTTTGACAGGCCTATCATTGCTTACGCTCAAATCCTAGTACACAGGGGGGGAGGGGGGACATAGAATAAAGATTCCGGCGCTGTTTCACAGACAGACTTATACCAGAGTTTAGTTTCGTCTGTGGTGCAGGCTAAATGCTAGCCTGTTGCTATGGATTCATGAGCGAGTTTGTGACATCGGCAGACATTATTCTTCTCTAATTCAATACGAGAAGAACAGCCAACAACTCCTTCAGGAATGAGGTCGTTGTAATTTGCGTGAAAAATATAAACTTTGCTTCTAGGCCTTACATGTACTTCTCAGAACAAGGTAATGTTGATGATGACGCCACCATTATTACGATATTTTTTAATTTCATTCAATTTACAGTCTTGCTGCCGCAGTCTGCGGTCTGCAGTCTGCAGTCTGCAAATGGCATACACCGTTTTGTGATACCACAGATGATGCATAGAGTTCATAAAGATATGAAAAGTTCTTGAATTTTAGCTACCCTCTTAAAAGCTCTTGAATCTAAGTTGAGTCAATGGAAAATCCTTGAACTTTAAATCTTGTTTTGAATATCCTTTAATCTTAAGAGCTTTCATTGGTGGCAAAATAATTTTCTGTTGGAGAACATCCATAGGTATTAAAAATACCTTTAGCATCAGTTTTTCATGGGATACTGCAAACTGTAAACTGCAGTCTGCAGTCACCCATTTGCAGTTTCACTTTGCCTGGATTTTAAACTTTAGGCAGACATTCATTGTTTATCACCAGCTCTAACTAGCACATCAGAGGGTGGTGTAGAAAGCTGCGGCTTTGCTTCAGAATGGCTATAGAGAGCATGGAAAATGGTGATTATCTACTAAAATGTTTGCCAGCTAGAAACATTATATAATGGAACGTCTTTTTATGTCAGTCCCTTAGATGTGTAGTCAAATGTATTCTCCCTTATTGAGACAAAACTGAGAGTTGTGTATTCCCATAAAAAGCCTACACTATATTCAATGACAACATTACTATGCACTTTATCTTTTTCTACCTGGAATGGGGTGAGATAACATTAATGTTGTCATTCTTCCTCTTGAGCAGTAAAAAACTAACCACATAAAAACTTGCAGTAAGCTTAGAGCTTATTGAACACGGTCTGTTAAAATCTTTTGTTGTTGTTGTTGTTGTTTTAACTGTGACTGGTTCCCTTATTCTGCCAATGCCAATGTTTTTTTTTTGTGTATGTCAGGTAACCCATTCCATTTTAGAGGCTGCGGTTGGTCCAGAGAAAAAGAAGTGTCACGGTCAAAAGATGACATGTCCTGGATTTTCACCATGAATGACTTGTTCAACAAAATGTTTGGCAAGGATGCTCTTTTTTATGAATTTGACAAAGGTTTAAAATGAGTGGTAATATCACCCGACTGTTTACCTATCTATCAATATGATCATGCACTGTGGGAGCAGCTCTTTCCTACAGTTTTGACCAGTTTTACTTCCTTGCTGGAACAGCAACAAAGTCCACAAGCCATTCCAGCTAGCAGCCCAGCTTCCAGCAACACTGACCCAGTCAGCAGCTCTTCCACAAGCCTCTCATCAAGCCCTGCCACTAGCCCTTCAAATTCCAGTTGCAGCCCTTCGTCCAGTGTCACAGTGGATCCTAAAACTGCCTTTGTTCCTCAACCATCAGAACCTTTGTTTATTCATGATTTGCGAATTTGTGCTGCAAATGATTGTTCCAGAGGCCAGCTTGCTACCCTTAATCTTCCGCCTGTAATTCAAATTCCAGACGATGACATCGAGCTGGTTGTTGATCCTGGGCATCTTTACAATCCTCTGCAGTCCCCAGTCAGGCCTTCAGAATCAGCAATCACTAAGGGTTATAGACTGATGGATGCGGCAACTGGAGAAACCAGTGATGATGAGGATTTCGACACTGCAGTCAAGTTTGGAGTACTTGGGGTCTTTGACAGCAGAGCTCTAGACATTTGGATGAAAGCATCAAAAGCTTCCTCCATTAAGTTTATAGTCCAAGAAGAGGAATATTGGATGAAGACTACAAGCGCCACATTAACCCCTCAGCAAATTAAGGAAATTAGGGCTTTGCTTTTTGACAGTGAACCTCAAGAAGAAATCCTTAGAGTTGGTGATGTCATGGTTGATGCTGAAGACCTTTCAACCTTAGCTGCTGAGAGGTACATTAGTGGCTTTTTGATTGATGCTGCATGTTTGAGGTACAGTGAGGAACCCATGTGAAAAAAGTCCCATTCCTCCGTCATTTCCACAAACCTGGGCTTTAACCAGAAATGTCCAATTTCTACAAACAAAGTTGAAGCCCTACCTTTCAAGAATGGATCTTGGTGATGTTGCATGGATCCTTACTCCAATCCACGTAAATGGCAACCACTGGGGTCTCCTTTGCCTAAATATGGCACAGCAGCAAGCATTCTATGATGATGGCTTAAAAAAGAGTCCTTTTACCAGCATCAATGAATTGGCTGACAATCTGCTGAAGGCTGTATCAGAAACCCAGTGGAATATCACCTTTCCAATTCAGCGGTTTGGAATGCCCAAACAGCCATTATTTAGGGAAGGTTGTGCTAGTTGTGGCATTGGTGTGATCTAGCTTGGCAGTCTTTGATTTCATAGACAACCCTGCAGACAATGGAATTCCTCACTTTCATTGGAGTTTTCATGAGTTGGGGAGTCATCGCCAGAGACTTCTTTATCGTTTTACACAATGGTAATAAGTAATCCATATAAATATTACCATTGTAGATTGTCTGCCTATTTTAAGTGAATTTTCCATGAGAATTGAATTGTGAATGAAACTGCTTTTGACAATACTATTGTTCTGAATTAATTTTTTCAAATCTTTCAATAAGATAGTTGTTATTAGAATGGAAGTGCTGTTGACAATATTATTGTAAGGGTTTCCTCTCCCTCATTAGGTTTACAGGCGGCACGACCAAACTGCGGAGGTGATGGAGCCCAGTTTTCACTGAATTAATTTTTTCAAAGCTTTCAATGAGATAGTTGTTATAAGAATGGAAATGCTATTGACAATATTATTGTAAGGGTTTTCTCTCCCTCTTAAGGTTTACAGGCGGCACGCCCAAACCGGGGAGGTTATGGAACCCAGTTTTCGCTGAATTAATTTTTTTCAAAGCTTTCAATAATATACTTGTTATAAGAATGGAAACTCTCTTGACAATATTATTGTAAGGGTTTCCTCTCCCTCCTAAGGTTTACAGGCGGCGCACCAGTTTTTGCTGAATTAATTTTTTGAAAGGTTTCAGTAAGATGGTTATAAGAATGTAAACTCTTTTGACAATATTATTGTAAGGGTTTCCTCTCTATCTTAAGGTTTTACAGGCGGCACACCCAAACTGTGGAGGTTTTTTTTTTCTTTTTTAAGAATGAACATGCTTTTGACAACTATTATTGTAAGAGTTTCCTCTCCCTCTTAAGGTTTACAGGCGGCGCGCCCAAACTGCAAAAAAGATGGAATCCAGTTTTTGCTGAATTAATTTTTTGAAAAGTTTCAGTAACATGGTTATAAGAATGTAAACTCTTTTGACAATATTATTGTAAGGGTTTCCTCTCTGTCTTTAAGTTTACAGGCGGCACGCCCAAACTGCGAAGGTGATGGAACCCAGTTTTCGCTGAATTAATTTTTTTCAAAGCTTTCAATAAGATGCTTATGATAGGAAGAATGAGATTGAATTCTAACTTTTTTCAATTTTACCAAGGACAACACCTTCACATAAGTTATTGTCTCAAAAGTAATGTTCTTTGCTCTTTTTTAAGTTTTTAGGCAAAAGACATGGCATTGATGTCCAGCTAAAATTCCAATGAAGAACCGAATGAAAAATAAAATCCTGCAGGTCATACCAGAGAGTTTGACATTGCACTGACTGCAGGTTACAAAAAACAAACGGCTCTTTTAGGAGCCACCATACGTATTAAAAGATAATGACCAATCACAGAGTACACCAGTAAGTGTCCATTAAACTGTATCATTTTAATCTTTATGCCCTACTTTCAGCAAAGATTGAACAGATTTAAAAGCTGTTTTGTTGAGTACAAACTGATTTTTTTCTGGTTAAAGCAGCTACTGATTTGTTAACTAGCATTAACTTGCTACAAATAAGCTCAAAATCACTGAAATACATATAAAATTCATATAGGCTTTCCAATTTCCTTTAACAGGAAATAGCATGTCTGTTTAGTTAGTGTCTATCTATGGTAAAATTTGCTTTTGTGGTTTTACTAAAGTTGCACGAAGAAGTTGCATTGTTTTGGTATAAAAAATTGATGTTCTATTTTCAACAATGACTACACCTTCCCATAGATACTATTGTCTTCCAAGGTCAGTGTTTTATGCTCTTTTCAACTTACACTTAAATGACTAATATGATATCTATGTCAAGCTTACATTTCAAAGAGGCAGAGAAGAATAAAAAAGCAAAATTAACCTCTGTACAGGTCAAACAAGGAAGTTTGTCAATTAACACTGCTCTTTGCAGGTAAAAAGTGGAAGAGAAACAACTTCCCAGATATTTCAGGGAAGTGAAGTCCACTGTAAAGCCATTGCCTGAATGTTTGATCAATATTGAATAGACTGCAAAAAAACTGATGCCAAAAGAAGTTTCAAGCAGTTACTTTTTTAACATAGAATCTTATCGAAAGTTTTCCATTCCTTGTGGTGGAGTATAGATCTGGCCAACAGATTACCTCTACCTCCCTAGTGGTCCGTCCTTGTCCTGGACCCACCTTCAAACTTCCTTTGGCTGTTAGACGTTTGGTTAATAGATCCCCTGACGACTCCTCATTTCTGACAGTGCTCCAAAAACTATGGTTCTTGGTAGCCTGGAGTTCCTCCTGAGGGCTAAGGTCAGATCTTTTCTCCACTTCCTGTAGGTCACTGTACCAGGCCGTATCATTTAGTTTAAGGAGGGTTTGTTCATGCACTGCATCCGTAAATGAAGTGAGGCTATACACTTTATAGGAAACTCGCCTTGTTGATGGGCAGTAAAATGGAGGCTTCTTATGAGGTAACTGCCTCATGCTATGCACCCTGCGTCCCATTTGACAAGCTAAGTGCCCAAAGTACCTTTCAGGATCTTGTGGGAATTGTAAAGGAATATTCAAGTGCGTAGATCTAAATTAAAAGCGATGCAAAATACTTAGGTGGTATTAGGCTAAATGTGCCGTTTAAATTCGCCACTTACCACGTAAACGAGGATTAAGGGAAGCGTTTATCTGCTCCGTAAGCCCTGCCAGCCACGATAAATATCCTATTTTAAAATCTTGCGATCTCCTGTTAAGAAATCCAATGTCGGGCACCGAAGCCTCGTTCTCCTCGTCCAAAAACACCACATTATTAAGGCTAGATCACCTTCCACCGTGTGTTTTCGTTCCGTGTGCTTTTGAATTGCGTTAAAAGTTTTAAACTTTCCAGTGCATAAACAACATTTCTGTGAAAACGTAAAGCGCAGATCCATGTCGTTGTCAGCTATAACGGATTCGATAATATCTCGCCGTCGATTTTCCTGCAGCAAACTAGAAATTTGTCAAGTAACATTCCTTGTCAATCACATAGGTTATGAGAATAAAGGACGTGATCACACAGCGCTTGATATAAAATAAATTCTCCTAACCATTTAAGAGGGAAATGTGTGAGGACAGGAAAAAGGAATTTACTTTTCAATGTGGGTTTAAATAAGTACGGGTGTTCTTGAAACAATGGATTCTGTTTAGAGACAATTCTCACGTACCATGTGCTACCTTCCGTAACGTAAGTGTTTTTCCGTGAATGAAAACATGGACTCAAACGTACAAGCGAGAGGAACAGTAGAGAAGTTATGAAAAAAGGAGAGCGAGTATTCCGAGTAAGGGATGGAAAGTATCGTTCAAGAGCGCATTCAAAAAGAGAGAAAAGAAAGCAAAATAAGGCATGGCAGAGAAGAAAATGGGAGGAAGGATTGAAGAATGAGAACTTTCGTATACCAGAAAGAGAGGAGTTGCCACAAGAGCAGAAATATGATGAGAAGACTCGTGGACCAGAACTACAGAAGATGCCAGAAGAGGGAGGGGAGAATGAAAAGGTTCGCGAATCAGAAAGTGAGAAGGTTTCAGAACCACTGCCCGCAAACAAGAAACGGATCGAGGCCAACAAACTATCTCCAGAGGCAAATACTTTTTCCAGAGGCAAGGTCATGGTCAATTTATCACATTCGAAGTTAAAACGGAAAGGTCATACCGAAGAGAAATACGTGCCGGCCGCAAAAATTTCACGGAAACAAATCGAAGTTAGCTCCAGAAAAAATAGCATCGGCAAGAACGCAGATGCTCTTGCGTTTAAGGAGATCAACAGGTCTTTGCTGAAAGTGGAGAAAAGCCAAAAAATTGGAAACGGAACCTTCGGGAACTGCTACATCGCCCTATACCGCAATGAATACCGCGTTGTTGCTAAAGAAATGAAAATAATTGAATCCCCAAAGAAGACAAGAGAGGAAGTGTGGCGAGAAGCATCGGCAATTACTGGAATTGGAGACCAGTGGGGAATCCCTCTTCTGTTAGGCGTTTCCACAGATCGGTCACCATTTTATCTGGTTCTCCAGTTCCACGCTTTGTGTAGTGAAAGCGTAACACTTTTTAAGGCAGCTTCGGAAAAAGTTATTCAAGATGTTGCCATGTGCGCAAATATCTTAAAGCAAACATGGAAATCTTGCGCAATGATCTGAAGAGCAATAATGTTGTCATTGACAGATCGGAAAACAAGCCCGTAAGAGGGGCGGATCCAGGATTTTTTTTAGGAGGGGGTGCACTCGTCTCTTGCTCTACTGTTTCGTTGATCAAAAAGGCTTTGTCTCTTAGTTGACAGATTTGTTTGATGACAGAATCGTGATTGACATAAATTATATACATTGATTTAAAAGCATTAGGTTATTATGTTTCAAACCAGTTTTCAGTAAAATCGAAGTGAGAAAGAAGTTTTAGTCTGTCTGTAAACCCGCTTACCTGGAGAATCTGTA